TTTTCCACACCTCAACGAGGTAATACTAAAGCCCTGATCCAGCCTTAGTTAACACCAGCCACATGGTTTTTCTTTGCTATCCTAAATGAATAAGGAAGGTTTAACTAACTAAACCACCCAGACTAAGAACTGAACAGGATGAATGTCCAATAAGCCATAAGTGTCCCCCACTCAATTTCAGTCGTTTCTGTGACAGATCTCAGATTTTTCAGAACAAGTATGGAGGTTATTTAAAACTGAGTTATATATAGTCACTTAGCAGCAAACATTTGTGTCACAGATGCTACATCTCTAGAGGAATTTTCCCCCAAAACTACATTTTTCTTCACCAAGAAACCAATCAGCCTTTATTTCTAGAGGCAAGTGCATATTCCCCCCTCAAAAAAAAAAAAAAATCACAGACTACTGTTAAATTCTACGCTAATGAAACTGTAAGGAAACATCCCAGGCGTTGTCAGAGCCTATTTTTCATACACCACCACTAGACAGTTTGATGCAGTATTCCTGATTGCTTTTTATCGTATTTGTAAATACACTCACTAATCCACTAAATTAGGTAATTTACAAACAGGTCCTCTCAGTTATTAGTGGCCAGCAGTCAAGTTCTATTACATCTGATCCTTACACAGTTGTCCAAACATTTCCACCCAGGTTAGAGGCTCTGATCAGAAAGGCAGAAGGCGGCTAGCAAAATTTGGATGGGGGCAGGGTGGCAGCTGAGAGAAATCTCTGCATCTCAGCCCTCAGCGACAACATTCAGCCAGTGCCCACAGAAAAACTAAATTCGGCACCTCTTCCTCCTGTTACACTGGCAACAAAGAGGGAGTTTCCGTATCGCTCCCGTCACCCACCAGGTGCCCAATCTCCTTCCCAGCCCAGTCCCCGCGCTCCCGCAGGGGCCTCGGTGCGACTAGAGGCCGCGGTGCCCGGGGTCAAGGCACAGAGGGGGGGATGGGGTGGGAAACGAGGAGGTGGGGTCTGTGAAATGGGCCCTGGAAGGGCACGGGGACCCACTGAAGCACCTGATCCCGGCCGAAGGGACCGCAGGCCAGGGGAAACGGGCGGC